CAGATATTTGCCTAGGCTACATAAAAAGCACTACTGAAGTCAGTACAAACTAAAATTTCCTAGACAATGATTTGTTTATGCTCTGTATACTATGTAAGTACAATATTTATATTCCAACAGATATATTTTATAATTATATGGTAAAAATGAGAAAGTAAGCAATTTTTCAGTACTAGTGTGCTGTGACACTTTTGTATTTTTATGTCTGATTTTATAAGTTTTTAAGTGAGGTAAAACGTGGGGGTACACAAGACAAATCAGACTCTTGAAAGGAGTATAGTAGTCTAGAAAGGTTGAGAGCCACTGAGCTAAATCATAAGCTGGAAAAAAAGCACTCTCTCACTACTGACAATGTATTAAACTCTGTACACATAGCCCAGTGTAATTAATGAAGTCCTTAGGGAAACAATTGCCATGGATCTTTGCATGCATTAAGAATGCAAAATTCGACCCTAGAATAGGAAGAGAACAGCTTTAAAAATAGAAATGATCTAATTTCATTAATTTTTAGATTAGATAGACAGACAGAAGGGACCATTGTGATCATCTGATCTGACCTCCTGTATAACACGGGCCATTGAACTTCCCCAAAATAATTCCTAGAGCAGATCTTTTAGAAACACATCCAATCTTCATTTTAAAATGGTCAGCGATGTAGAAGCCAACACAAACTTTGGTAAATTGGTCCAATGATTAAGTCCTCTCACCATTGAAAATTTACACCTTATTTGAAATCTGAATTTGACTAGCTTCAACTTCCAGCCATTGGATTTTTTCTGCCCATTGAAGAGCCCATTATTAAATATTTGTTCCCCATATAGGTACTTATAAGTTGATCAAGTCTGCCCTTAACTCTTTCTTTGTGAAGCTAAATAGATTGAACTCTTTGACTGTGTCACTATAAGGCATGTTTTCTAACCCTTTAATCATTCTCACGGCTCTTCTCTGAACCCTCTCCAAATAATCAACATGTTTCTTGAATTGTGGGGCACAAAGCCTGAAGTAAAAAAAGATGCGGGAGGTGACAAGCAGCTGGCTTATTAGGTCCGCATTAAGCACACTAGGTTTCTTTCTCCTCTAACCCTTCTTCCACCATTCAGATCTTTTTCTTTCCTCATGGAGCAATTCCCAGCATCATTTCCAGCGGCCTTATGCTCTTAACTCCCTCCCTCCGTCCCAACATCTAGCCTGATTGTTCTGACCACACCACCTTTGTCCCTCTCCTTCAATTCTTCCACTGGCTCCCCCTTCTCCACTGCATCAAGTTCAAGCTTCTCGCAATTGCTGTCAAAGCCCCCTCCCCAACTCTACTCCTCTCCTGATCTCATCATATCACCCCACATCCAATCTGCTCTCCAATGATGCCATATCTTGCTTGTCCACTTCTCCGACAACCATCTCAATGCTTTCTTCCCTACCACCCTATGCATTGGATGCACTTCCTGAGGTGATCCACAAAGCCCTTCTCATCATCCCCTCATATAGATTTTTCCTGAAGCCACACTGCTTTTATATCATTAGGAAACTAGCTGACTAAGGCATCTACTTACCTACTTCACTTATTTATCTTATGAGAGAAGACCAGGAGTCCAATTTTGGCTGAGATGAGCATAAAGTGGAGGGTGAGACATTAAGGAGGAGAGGTCAGAGAAATAGGCTGAGCTGTGAGATTGAACAGACAAAGACAGGCCAGAAGTGGAGAGGTAGTTCTGCGACTATTCATGGGTGCAGAAGTGGTAGTTAAGGCCATGTGAGTGGATAAGGTTACCCGTAGATAGGGAGCACAGAGTGAAGAGAGGGTCTAGGACAGAGCCCTGTGTGAACTCCCATTGGAAAGTGACAGAGGGGAAGACTATCAACCAAAAGAGACACAAAGTACAGCCAGAGACGTGGCAGGCGACCCGGTACTACAATAGGGCAAGAAAGGACAACATCTCAAGCAGGAGGGAGTGGTCAGCAGTATCAAAATGCAGCAGGGAGGTCAAGGAAAATGAGAATGAAATGGAGACCCTGAGATTTGAGTAGGAAGAAGTCATAAGAAACCTTGATGAGAACAGTTTTGGTGGAGTGGAGAGGACAGAAATCTGGTTTGAGGGGGATCCAAGATGAAGTTGGGGCAGAGGAACTCGGGGTAAAGATTGTAGACTGCACATTCTATGAGTTTGAAGGGGAAAAAGGGATGAGGGGAGGAGGTAGTCAGAGAGACAGACAAAGACATCTTCACCTCTCAGCACCCAGCCCTCTTCCACATGTAGGAAGCATTGAGAAAAAAAACTGCCAGGTTTTCTGAGTTTGCTATCCCTTCCACCATCGACTTTACCATGAGAAGGAATGGTAGGGCATGAAGTTGATTTATGCAAAGATATCCCATTATTAGTCTTGACAAAATTCAATTTTTATTTTTTTCATAATTTCAACAGATAATATTGATGTTTTATTTTTAAACATTTTTTCACTATTTTTATTAATTTCAATATTCACAGTTTTGGGAAATTAAGGGGTGTTTACTGTAAGTAAACTAGAAGATTCAAAAAGTTAAAGCTTTGTCATCATTAAAACACAAATGGGCTGACGTCACATGTCAAAATGTACAAAGTAAATATCCTTAAATCAAACTCCAGTAAGTTTGCAAGCAGCATTTTTCTTATTTTGCCTATCTGTAAATTTTTATCAAATATTTTTGTTCATCATTTTGTGTGTATACAGTGAAATCAACGTTTACCAGCATTTACCAATAAAAATCAATCCTTCCAAGCCTGTCCATGATCTATTAGGATAAATCATTACTCTATAGATCCCTTATGATTATTTTGTCTCCAATCACACAAAACAAAAAAATAAGAAAATCCAAGGTGAAGTCTGTCAATCTAGACTTGATTTTGATCTTGAATCTATATAAACCATAAGTAATTCCAGTGACGTAAATGGAAAAACACTGGCTTAAAATCAGAGATAATAATTCAGCCCATTGTTCCGAGGTATTATATCATTACATATTACTGAAGGAATCTCTAGAAAAGAAAGCTCTGGCTCCACAAAGGAGCTACTCCTACACATTGCTCCATGATCCCATCAACAGTTCGGCTCCTTAAGGAGCAGTGCTATCATTGGCTCTCTTGCTTATGCCTGTAAAATCAAAAAGTCCTCTCCAAAGTGACAAGGAAACTACAGGCATGGCACAAAAGTCAATGCTGCAAGGGACCACATTAACTTATGTGCCAATATCCACTGGGTTACAAGCGGTGGCTATTCACTGGTCCCACCCTGGCATGATCAAGAGCTTTCTAGCCAGGACACTGCATTATTGCCATAGAAGGGCTTGTCTAGGCTTCAGTGGAGTGGGGAAGCAAACTGTGGCAGCAACACTCTCCCTCTTCACATTCTTTTTAACTCTCCTGTCAATTTTTAATTCTTTTTTGCTCCTATCTGCACTTCCTAGCAGAAGCAAACATGTGACCCTTTATGTTGACCTAAATAAATGACTGCCTATTTCCAGCATGCTGCCTGACAGCATGAAGCACATTCACTTCGGATATCAGTCACAATTCACATTCCCACATGGAGGAAGCAAGAGAAATACAAAATATAGCCTAGAAATATGGATGCAGTTTGTAGGTCCATAAAGAAATCCTTTCAATCCCATGACGTTAACTTTCTGCAGGCACAAAGTAGCTACTCAATTTTCTTCTCATTATTAGGACAAATAAGTTCAAATTCTGACCTGAAGTGGCCAGTCAGTCCTCCTATGAACTTGCCAACTTTTATAGATGCACATACTAGCTTCCATTAAAGTATTATTTTTACTTTTAATATTGTCTGAAGGAAGAATATGACTCTTAATTGGTAAATTTAAGTTGCTAAAACCCCCTCTTGTACCAAGCTTAATGTACCAGGCTTTTTAATCTTAATTAAA